TACAAAATACATCAGCCCTTCAACAACAAAAAGACAACAATTGAATTTTTAAATGGGTAAAGGACTTAAATAGACATTTCTCCAAAGAAGATACACAAATGGCCAATAAGCACATGAAAAGATGCTCAGCATCACTAGTCAATAGGAAAATGCAATCAAAACCACAATAAGGTGCCCCTACACCCACTAGGATGGCTATAATTTTAAAAAGTAACAAGCATTGGCAAGGACACGGAGAACTTGGAACCCTCGCACAATGCTGGTGGGAATGTAAAATGTTGCAGCCACTGTAGTAAACAGTTTGGTGGTTTCTCAAAAAGTGAAACATAGAATTGCCATGTGACCCTGCAATTCTTTTCCTAGGTATCTATCCAAAGGAATTGAAAACAGAGACTCAAAACAAGAATGTATACCCGAATGCTCATAGCAGCTCTGCTCACAACAGCCAACAGGCGGGAAGAACCGAAATGCCCATCAGTGATGATGGGTGCACAAAATCTGGTGCATCCGTACAATGGAATATTAGTCAGCCATAAAAAGGAATGAAGTACTGATACATGCTACAAGATGGATGACTCTTAAAAACATAGGCTAGCCAGGCTGGCGTGGCTCAGCGGTTGAGCATCAACCTATGATCCAGGAGACTGAGGTTCGATTCCTGGTCAAGGCACATGCCCGGGTTGCAGGCTCGATCCCCAGTAGGGACATGCAGGAGGCAGCAGATCAGTGACTCGCTCGTCATTGATGTTTCTATCTCTCTCTCCCTTCCTCTCTCTGATATCAATAAAGATATTTAATAAAAAAAAAAAAAACACATATGCTAGCAGTGCTCTCAGCAGTCCCTGGATCTGTCTCTTGCTCCAACAGTGTTTGGACAGAACAGAGCTAGGGACGCCCCTTCTTCCAGCCTCTGACCACCTTCCAACCTCTTTTCCAGGCATCACCTTCAGAACCACCTCAGCCATCCTCAGCCTCCAAGACCAGCCAACACGGTTTTCTGACCTTAACTCCTATTGCCAAACAACCATGAGCTCCCAGATTCATCAGAATTACTCCACTCAGGTGGAGGCTGCGGTCACCCACCAGGCCAACCTGCATCTGCAGGCCTCCCCCGCCTACCGCTCGCTGGCTTCTATTTCCACGCTGACCATGTGGCTCTGGAAGGCGGGGGTCTCTTCTTCCGAGAACTGGCGGAGAAAGAAGAAACTCCAGGGCCCAAGCGTCTCTTAAAGATGCAAAACCAGCACGGTGACTGCATTCTCTTCCAGGACATGCTGAAGCCTCCCCAAGATGAGTGGGCAAAACTCAGGATGCCATGGAAGCCACCACAGCCTTGGAGAGGAACCTAAACCAGGCCCTTGTGGGTCCACGTGCCCTGCGTTCTGCCCGCCAGGCCCTCATCTCTGTGATTCCTGGGGAACCGCTCCCTGGGTGAGCAGGTGAAGCTCATCAAGAAGATGGGTGACACCTGGTCACCTCCGCAGGCTGGCCAGTCCCCAGGCGGGGCGGGGCCAGCATCTCTTGGAAAGACTCACCCTCAAGCATGACTAGGAGCCTTTGGAGCCCAGAGGCCTTTGAGGGACCCCTCTGCATTCCCCTGGTGTCTGGCTTCTGCCTGAACCTCTCCCTGAAACCACTAGGCATCCCCTTAACCACCTGGAGCCCTCTCCCATGCATTGGGCCAAATGGAAAAAAATAAAGCTTTTTGCAAAAATAAAAATAAAAATAAAAAATTGCTGTCCGGCCGGTGGCTCAGTTGGTTGGAGCGTCATCCCATACACCAAAATATTGCTCTCTGTTACCCGTTAAACCACAAGAGAAGAGAAGAACCTTGACATGAGCAGGATAGAGGAGAGACAGGGCCCACATTTAATTAAAAGAGAGAGAAAGAGAGAGAGAGAGAGAGAGATCTGAGCCACCTGAAAACTGAACCACACAGAAATTGAGCTGACGATTTTAATTTATTTTTATTGGAATGGGTCTGGCGCACAAGTAGTGCCCCCACTAGGTGAGACTGCAAATGGTGTCAGTAAAGACACATCCGGAGCCCTTAAGGAGCTCAGATGAGCAAACCACTTAATTCAAGGCGGAAGGACTTCAGGCTTATGGCACAGGTGCAGAGCACTTGAGGGGCCCCGAGCATGAGGAGCTCCCTGGGTTCAAATCCCAGCTCCTCCGCCTACCAGCTGTGTGAACTTGAACAAACTGCCTGTGGCCCACAGCATACTGCCCCCTCCCAAAAGGTATCCACATCCTGATCCCTGGAACCTAGAAATATGTTATCTTACAGGTGGCAGGTGCAATTAAAGTTGCTAATCAACTGACTTTAAGATAGGGAGATTGTCCTGGGTGATCCGAATGGGCCCAGTGCAATCCCGAGGTTTATAAAGGTGGGAGAGGGCAGCTGGAGGGACCGTCACCCACGTCCCACAAAAAAGTCTCCTTGGCTAGGAGACCAGAGAGGGCACCTGGTATCGAGCTATGGCTCTATTTTCAGAGCTGCCTGGGGCAGATCATCTCTTTACCAAAAAAAAAAAAAAAAAAAAAGATTT